GCCCGAGAAACGCATAATCGATTGAATAGAGAGCGATGCGGGCAAAAGTAGCGAGTGAGACCTGCAACGCAATCGAGGATAGATCCAAAACTTTTAAAGGACTTTCACTTCAGGCTCGTCACGATTTGAGAGGCGATTAATAGCGAATTCATGTTGATAATCTGATGCGCAAGATAGATAGCCATTCAGTCGCAACAGCGCGAGAATTTTTGTCTTAAATCTTTAACTTGGAGTCTTTATAAAAAAAAGTTTAACATAACATTTTAAGTCTACATACATTGTCTGCATATATTTTATAATATATCATATTGTCGGAATAGTCGGAAAAGTCCACACACTTATTGGACACATTGTATAATCACAGTAGTAACATGTTGCTTTACCCTGCTACTCTCTAGAATCGGTCCATCGTTTCAACATCACCGCCGCAGCGGTACGCACTGAATTAAATGAGATTAAATCATTTGTTACCGATATTGTGTCATCCTATTCGGTACATGGAGCAATTTACCAAAATCTTAAATTGGGAGGTTTCACGGCTTACAATGCGAGAAAAGTAAAGGAAAAGGATAATGCTTTCGAAAAAACAAATTTCGTTCCAACAATAATACAACAAGTCTTATCGCCGATACTGTGCTACATCATAGAGGAAGGTACTGTGCTGAACTTTACATTGGTGTAATTTTGGAGGGTTTATTGCGTCTCTTCAACAACGCCGACAACTTGTTCCATTTAAATCCCGTAACACCAGCCCGTCGGAGTCCATGAGCTAAAGGCGACCATATAGAGCTGGATAACTTCCCGTTTACATCATTTTTCTTCAGTGCTGAGAATAACGGATATTTATGAACCAATCTCCGCTGTTTCTTTTCAGAATGATGGGATTTTAGCTGTGGTAGTCTCTCCTTCACACCTGTTGTATCTTCCTCATCTGATAAAAACAACATCAAAGTCAGACCAATCAATTATTTTCAAATACTCTTTGTACCTATTGATTTAGCGGCATTTTTACTATGATCGGCTGGATTTACTTGATCTAACGGCTTTAGTCGGCGATGTTGGCTGTCTTGGGCTTTCCAACCACTGAATAGCTCCGCAGGTACATTTGCCGAGTGTTCAATGTCGGATATCAGCGGTGTAACCCGAGACTTATCAGAGTTAGTAGAAGAAGAAAACGCATCATGCTTTTGCACGAAGCTGGACAGAGTCACGATGAATGTCAACATCGACAGCCGCATATTCCGTGTTTTGTGGCGAAGATGTTAAATTCAAACTGAAGTGGGAGGCACTGAGAGCATTACGCCACATGTATACGCTATGTGAATGGTTATCTGATTCGCCATGGACGAATCAGCTATACACAGTGCCCATCACTTATTTTTTACTGTATAATCAAAGATTCCGAGGGACTTGATTCATATTCGACCCTTAGCGACCATTCTCTCTGCACACCCAAGTGCCAATTTAGTGTCAGACAGAGTCAATTTACTTCAGGAACAACGTAAGCGTTTGTATTTTCACCACAAATACACCGCACCTTGATTTAGCCATACATAGTACACACATAAATGGGTGCTTTTTTTGGGGTTAGATAACTTCAACGATCTCGATTAGTAATCACATATTACTTTTATGTAGTATACACTCTGTGCGACAATATTACTGATGAAGCGGGACTCATCAAGAACGCAGTATATCTTCCCACCAGTGATGAGCTAGACATGATCAGTAAGAATAGACTAGCTTAGGCATCTTACATTTAGTGCATCAAGCTGTTCGAGACAGCAGACGCCTACGCTTATTTAATTTGAACCTCGAGGAATTTTTAGTCGAATTGTAGAGTAGATCCGACGTTTGGTAACCCATGCAATGACTTGGGTCTCATAAGAGTAAAAGAAAGGAAGAATGAAGACAAACATAATTCTCACACTGCATCGCGAAATGACATGAGAAGGCATGATCCTACACTCACAAAATTTGATATTTTGATTTTGCCCCTACAAATCCTTTACTTTTTTATACCATCAAATGGAATATTTTGATGGAGCAGCCTATAAACAAGAAGTGCTTGGATCAACAGGAATGAGGTTTCAATGCAGCATTTGATGTAGACGAGCATTAAAGTGAGCCTCAAACAATTGACATTGTGGTTGTGTGCCAAAACACTCACGAGTTTGAATTTCTCGTAAAGATGTGAAAAGCAAAAGCTGCAAGGTTCTCAACGATGATCAAAGCGCTCATTTTGACCAAAAGTGCTTTCATCACTGATGTAACTCCATATACGATTACGTGATGATCTTGCAGAGCGCACGTCAAATGTGCATCGTTTGATGCACCTGCGTGGACATCATAGCTGAACGTCTTAAGGTTCCATCCCTATGATTTAAGATGTTTAATGACAAGTTGTGGCTTATCTGACACATATGATTTAATTTAGTGACAAATTTCTTCTTTTTTTCTGTTCCCGAGCAGACATCGTGGCAATTGTCTATGAAGGTGGAATCAATGATAAACAAGCCCTTTGCGTTTCATTCATGTGACTTCCACCAGCACGTGACCTTTTCTCTTCGACTAGTTTGAAGATATCTTCAAAGTACACGGCGTTGCGGGTGACGATCCTTATTTTTGAGCTTGAGTGGTGTTAAATTCGTCCACAACACTATGGCGACGATCTAGCTTGGATACACTCTTCCTCGATAGAAGTCAGATGTTTCTGTACATTCTTGATATATCGAAGTCCCTTGTCTTGATAATTATTAGATGAGTCAACTTTGAAATGACTTCGCACAGTGTCAAACAGCACAACTGAAGAACTTAAATTTGCTTTGAAGTTGCAGTACTTCATCGAACGTCATAGTATCGTGCATCTAACGGTGTAGTCTCACTGATTTGGCGTCAAAAGTTTATGTAATGATTAGTTTACTCATTCAAACACAAGATGACCAACTTTGAAATGTCCATTGCTATCATAAGCTATGTCCATTGCCTCTAAGCCTCTAATGCATTTTTTCGACAGCATTGTGGGACAGTGAAATGCATTTGGTGGTGTTTTAAATTGAGAAGAATCAACTTCAGGTCGAGAGTTTCTGACGTCGTTGTATGAATCGCTCTGAAATGTTATGAAACATTTGCAATGATTCAGAACAATAGAAGCTTGTTAAAAGAGCAATGTTCTGCCATATGTCTTAGCCTTAGACATAAATGAACAAGAGAAAGAAAGTATTCAGGAATTTTTGGACTTTGAGAACCGATCGTACGAATTTCATAGATCAACGCAGCATACTTGAATAGTTATATAATCTCGACATATTTTCAGCCGACAACATGTGAAATACTTAACTGTTAAGGTTGTTGAGTATGTCATTACAAGCATGTGAGGCAGTCAATAATTGATTGCTTTGGTCTCTTACAAGGATGGTCGACGAAACGCGTGAATACCAGGAAACATACCCTTGAAATGCCAAAATAGAGGTCGGCTTTCTTGAGAGAAAGTTTTAGGAGTTTCACAGCTTCATCTCTTTGCCGTTACGGTCAGGGGTCTAGTCGAAAGGACGGTACGGGTACTGCTAGTATGGCTAACGAGAAGGAGTCAAAAGAGTGCAAGGATGCATACACGGACATGATCTCAACGTAAGTATGACTCACTATAGTGAATGACAACACGTTTTGACCATTTGAAGGTCTTGTGCAGCCCTCGAATCAATAAAGTTCCATTGAAAATGGCTCCACCTGCATATGCTCCAGAATCAAAGGTCATTGAAATTGGCTAAATATCTCAATTACAGTGTATAAGTAAGTGTTTTTTTGCTAGATGGCGGCTCCAGGTGGAGATCCCACGACTAGAAAGAAAGCTTTACCTCCTCCTTCAAATCCTCCACCAAAGTCAGGAAATTCCGCTGCAGCGTTTCGTTCGAAATCGTCGTTAACACCACCAATTGGACCTCCTCCTAGCACAGGAGCTCCAAGTGCATCTGTTGCAAAAATTCGAAGTGCTGCTCGACCGCATATGAGTGGCGTACAACCAGGTGGAATAGAGGCAAAGACTGGACCTTCAAATGGAGCACAATTGAAACCGATGGGTCCACCATCAACTCCACCAATGATAACTAAGTCAAATGCAGGAGGTGCATCACAAGCGATTGCACCACCAAAAGCAGCATTAAACGCAATCAACACAGCACGTAATCTAAACAGCGAAAAGAAAGGAGATGTAACAGATACCCCAGCAGAAGCTTTTAATTCCAAACAATCCCTACCTTTACCAAGTAAAAGCTTCTCAGAATCAAAGGTACCACCCAGATCAGCTCCATTCGATATTCTAGCAAATGACTCGCCTCTTAATACAAAGACTATCGAATCATCGGCTGCTATTCTAAAGCCTTCGACTTTGAATCAACGTGAACTCTCAACCGTATTAGCGACACCTGTTTTAAAAAGTGGAGGGAATGTTATAGAGGATACCACGATGGCAAATCGTCATGGATCAGGAACGATAACCTCGTTGGCTTTGGAAAAAGAGAACGCGAGTGTTTTTACGACTAAAATGGGAAAAGCTGCTCAATTTAGCGGTCAACTACGTTTGAATGTTCCTGAAGAAGAATTTATTGTTGTGAAAAAGCGAGAGTCCAAAAGTGTTGAAGCTGAGACGACGAGAAACTCTGGATCGACGATCCGATCGATCGCAAATTTTGACGATACATTTGATGATGTCGAAGAAATTCCATTTCTCGAAGATGATGATTTTAATGCTCAACAGAATGAAGCAAAGTATTCTGAGCATGACGACGATCCTGAAATTTCGATTGAACACTCCCGTCGATTTTCAAAAACATCACAAGATTCTACAAACGAGCACAACGACGACGATAGCGATACGACTGTACAAAGAAATGTGTCGAACGAAGATTTGTACGATGACTTGCGTAGGACGAAGCATCGGTCTCAGTCATCTCAAGGTCATGAGTACAGTGGAAGTGAGCACGATGAGCAAGAAACTCGTGACTCTCGCTCGTCTGCATATGATAAAAGGGAAGAAATATCGAACGAGGGAAGCCACGACGAGTTTCGAAAAGCACGAGATCGCGACAAAACACGTGAAAAGCGCAAGGAAAAGCGTCGTAGTAAACAAGATGGACCAAAGAAAGTTCAAGCTCAAGTAAGTTGTTTTCAATGTGCTTAATATATTGTACTCATCCTTTTGTGGACGTAGTTCTTTAACCCGAAAAATGCACCACACATTCCGGATCATTTACTTGAATTTATCAAACGCCCACTTGAATGTGGTCGTGGACAAATTGTCAAGTGTTTTATCGAAAGAAATGACAGTGGACCAAACAAACTTGCACCTATCTACACCCTTTTGCTCGAAGTCAATAGCTCTAGTGGTCGTCCAATTCTATACGCAAGGAAAAATGCTACCAGTCGTATCACATCGCACTACGTGATCTCGATGAATAAGTCTGTAGTTTGATACAATTGTGATGTTTTTAGCTCATTTTGATTGCAAATTGTCGTTAGGGATGATTTGATTTTGTCTCGAAAGATGCGAAGTCATCAATACGTTGGTAAGTTACGGTCATCTACGAATATGATGGAGTACACATTGTACGACCAAGGGGACAATCCGGAAGATTTGGATTCTGATTGTGAAGTTGATGACGAACTTCGACAAAGCATTCGTGCAGAATTGGCGATGATTCGGTATCATTATTCGAAAAAAGTGAGATTTTCGTGTTCACAGAGTGTTTCTTACCTCACACCTTTTATCATTAGCCTTATCCACGAAAAATGGAAGTAGTGATCCCTGCAATGGAAGATAATGGTCAAAGTTATTTAGAGTGGCGACCATTATCCCGTGATCAAATGATGGAAGAACATGTACGCACGATTGCATCAGCTGTACGTAAAATTTAACTTGTATTCGAGCCTTATATCACACAAGTAATAATCTGACTGGTTTCTTTTGTACCCTCGTAAAGGGTGGTCAAAATGTTATCGATGCCTCAAATTTCATCTTCCTTCATAAGCGGGAGACCAAGTACGACCCTCTTTCATCATGTATTGTCGATTTTCGTAGTCGAGCAACTTGTGTCTCTGTGAAAAACTTTCAATTGGTTCACTCGGAGCCAACGAATGAGGAATATAATGCTCAGTATCGTCATTTGTACCCAGAGTATGTCTATGAAGACCAAGGTACAATTTCATTGCCTCAAGAATTTGTCTTGCTGCAGCTTGGAAAAGTTGGTAAAGATTGTTTCAATATGGACTTTCAATACCCTTTATCCATGTTACAAGCTTTTGCTATCAGCCTTAGTCGTTTTGATACAAAACAACGATAAATTACCGTATTTAATACAACCAAAATAGTAATATCTAAAGCTGTTTGAAATGGTAAATAGTACAATCAGAATAGCATTTCTATCGAGTCATATTAATTCACGGCGAAGCGACTTCTCAAGATCCACCACGTGCGACTTGAGAACGAACTTCTTTCCTCTCTTTCGAGCTTTGATCGTTTGCAATTAACACTATCAAATAAAACTATCACGATGCGTAGTGTATTAGCATGGAGCGATAAAGTACCGGAACGTAATGGTGAAAAATTTGTTGTACAGGATTTGGCTTTCAAACCTGATGGATCTCAAGTTGTTGCAGCTGTGGGTACTCGCGTTTTAGTGTATGATGCAGCTGATGGCACTTTATTGCATTCATTGAAAGGACATAAGAAAACAGTATACGCAGTTGACTATTCGTACGATGGCAAACGCTTTGCTTCTGGTGGAGCGGACAATATTGTGATTATCTGGACGGACACAGCGGAAGGTATTCTGAAATATACTCACAATGATAGTATTCAAAAACTCGTCTATAATCCTCAATCACAATGTCTTGCAAGTTGTACGGCATCCGATTTTGGTCTCTGGGCTCCCGAGCAAAAGTCAGTTGCGAAACACAAAGTTGGAGCTAAGATTTTATCTGCTTGTTGGAGCAATGATGGTCAAATACTTGCTCTTGGTTTATTTAATGGTAATGTGACACTTCGAGACAAATTAGGAGCGGAGAAACGGCTGATTGAAAGGTCCAATGCACCGGTGTGGGCACTAGCATGGAGTCCAACACCTGACGATTCATTGGATGTTCTTGCTGTGGGTTGCTGGGATCGTACACTTGTATTTTATTCTCCAAGTGGTGTCATGCAAGGTAAAGTTCGGAAACTCGATTATAATCCTACGACGATTACATATTTCAGGTACAAAGCATCACTTTGTCGATTTGACTTGATGTATTTTCATTCTAATGCTTTTTATTAGTAAAGGCAAGTATCTTCTAGTGGGTGGAAGCAATTGTAAAGCTGGATTGTATACGAAAGACGGAATCTTCTTAGTCGAGTACGTACAAGTGTTTGTTTGTTCTTTTGTCATTTGATATTAACCAATAAATTGTGATAGTATATGCGAACATGAGAGCTGGATTTGGGCTATTAAAGCTCGTCCAAAAACAAATTTCGTGGGTGTTGGTAGTGAAGATGGTACTTTATCCATTTATTGTCTCGTGTTTGGCACTGTGCATGGAATTTATCAAGAACGATACGCATATCGTGAAAATTTAACAGATGTGATCGTTCAACATTTAATGACTGAACAAAAAGTTCGAATTAAAACGCGCGATTGTGTCAGAAAGCTTAGTGTGTATCGAGATCGTCTTGCAGTGCAATTATCAGATCGAATTATCATTTATGAACTTGCAGGAAGTCTCAATGCCCCTGCAGCAAGTTACGACATGCATTATCGTGTTAAAGAGCGAATTCTTCAAGACTTACCATGCAGTTTATTGGTTGTCACGAGTCTTCACTTTATCTTGTGTCAAAAACAAAAATTACAACAATATGACTTTACAGGTCGATTAGAGCGTGAGTGGATCTTAGAATCATTGATTCGTTATATTAAAGTGATGGGAGGTGCTTATGGTCGAGAAGGACTTCTTGTTGGACTCAAAGATGGTTCTGTCTGGCAAATATTTCTCAATAATCCTTTTCCAATAAATTTGATCCAACAAAATAGTCCTATTTCGTGTCTCGACATTAGTGCAAAGTACGTATTGTCATTTGTTGATACTCTGTATACCTGTTAGAATTAATAACCTTGATTTTTCTTTTCTTACTAGTCGTGAAAAACTTGCGGTTGTCGATGATACACAAAAGTGCTATGTTTACGACTTGACTACGAAAGAGCTTTTGTTTGAAGAGAGTGCTGTGAATAGTGTCGCTTGGAATACGGAATGTGAAGATATGTTGTGTTTTGGTGGAAATGGTCAGCTTAAGATTCGTGCAGGTGAATTTTTAGGTCATACACAACGAATGCAAGGCTTTGTTGTTGGATTTACACGTTCGAAAGTCTTTTCACTTGGTGCACTAAGTGTTCAAACCATTGATGTACCACACTCAGCTCCTTTGTATCGATATTCGGAGCATCATAACTTTTCACATGCTTATGCTGTCTCGTGTTTGGGTGTTACAGCATCCGATTGGCGCTTCTTAGCATGGGAAGCATTGAAAAATATGCAGTTTGAAGTAGCACGAAAAGCTTTTTTACGTGTTCAAGACGTTCGTTTGATTGAGTTAGTGAATACATTGGAGCAAAAGTATCGAGATCAGATGTCACAGGTTAATCGTCCCAATCAAGAAAAGGATGTTGATATAAAAAAAGTAAAAATGTTATTACAAGGGGAAATTATGGCACATCAAAGCAAATTTTCACTTGCTGCGAAATTATTTACTGATTGTGGCGAACCAGGTCGTGCAATACAAATGTTTACAGATTTACGCATGTGGGATGAAGCAAAGCGATTTGCTACAGCTCAACAAGCTGGAGATGTCCAACAATTGGTGTTGGCTCAAGCTCGTTGGGCTGAAGACGTAAAGGATTGGCGAGCAGCAGCAGAAATGTATGCAGCAAGTGGCAATTATTTGCGTGCAATTGAATTAATGGGAGAAAATGGGTATTTGGACGAACTTTTGGAAATCACTTTTAAACCGGAAATTGCAAATAATGCTCAACTTTTGACACTTGCAGCAAATTATTTCTTAAAACGAGGTCGTGTAGCCAATGCACGTGATATGTACCTAAAAATTGGGGATGTGGACGCATTATTGCAAATGCATATTCGATTAGAAGAATGGGATGAAGCTGTGGCTTTAGCAAATCGACATCGTGACACTCTTCGTCGACCAGAACAAGTGTTTCTTCCATATGGTCAATGGTTGATTACGCAAGATCGATTTGATGAGGCATTAGAAGCGTATACTCGTGCACAACAACCGGACAAATCTTGTATTCTCTTAAATCAATTGATTGAAAATGCAATAACAGAATGTCGATTTAAAAATGTGGCATATTATTATTGGCGATTATGTGAAGAACAATTAAAAATGATTCAAATAACTCAAGATGACGATAAGTTAACGAATGAACAAAGTCAACAACTTGCTCATGCGATGGAGAATGAAGTTTTCTCGGAACTTTATTATGCATATGCCATGATCTTTGCATTTACAGATGAACCATTTACGACATTAGTACCCGAATCACTTTTTCATGCTGCACGTTTTCTTTTAAATAAATTAACCGGACGAGATTATGGGACAACACGTAATTTACCTCGTGGAATGTCCTTAAGTAACATTTACTTTACACTTGGACATCATGCGCTACAGCTTGAAAGTTATAAAGTTGCTCGTCAAGCTTATGAAAAATTACTTCAAATGAAACTTCGAAATGAATGGCAAATAATTGTGGAAAGCACTGCTATGACGTTACAAGCACAACCTTATGCAGATCGAGAAGAATTGCTGCCTGTAGACTATCGATCATCAAGTGTGAATCCATTTTTAAATCCAAATAATACTGGAGATGTCTGTATTAATTCTGGTCATCCATTCATACGTTCGTATGTATCATTTGAGAATTTACCATTAGTAGAATTTCAACCTGTGGTAGGGATTTTTGATTTTTTTTTTCAATTCTGAGACTTATTGTTATATTTAACATCAATTTTCGACTAGGCTGGTATCTCGAAGGAAAAAGCAGAAGAATTGATACAAATGTATCCAAGTAGCAAAGATGAGAATGAAAAGCGTACAAGTGATGGATGGCGAGAAACTGATGATGGAACTTCTCAAAGTTTAAAACTTGATGACGAGGAATTACAAAATACAATGAAATATGGTATCGATTTGTTCGAACAAGCTTTAAATCGACAAGCGACGTATGGTGCAAGTGTTGGTCATCGATCTGGAGCACCACAATATCGTGTTCTTGAGTTAGATGCTCAGACTTTACAATCACTTCGTCCAAACGAAGTATTTATTGTTAAATATCCAACACAAGCTATTCGACCAAAATACTACAAAAATATGATTCCAGAAATCAAAATTCATCTATCACCTCATTGTCGTCGGTTTTTTCACGAAGAAGATTTTGAGTTTGAATACCTTAAAGCTGGTTTTTGTCCATGTTGTCAAGTATCGGAACTTGAGACGTTAAACCAGACAAATAAATAGCACATGATGATAAGAAATGATTGTTTATAAAGCTCATGACTGTCTTGAACACAAACTACATTTTATGATTTTCAAAATCGCATGTATTTAATAAAAAACAAAACAAAGTTTTAAACTTAAGTAGTCGATGTCTTCGATCGAGGTGTTTTTCCAAAAAAGGGGGAACGTAATAGCGTACCGTCTTCAATCTGATCCCATTGATGACGTCGACCGGATGGTGTCATGAGTTGTTGAGCTGCAGGTGATCGTACGACTGGTGCTAAATTTCCAGGTGTATTTCCACCTTCAGTCATAGCAAATTGCAATGATTTTGTATCACTTTTATCAAGTGATTCCATATTCTTCATAGCTCGCTCAGCCATTGCTGTCCAATTCATTCGTAATAGAACAAACGAAAAGATTCCAAGTTTAATCAATTCCATTGTACAAACACCATACCATAACGCTGAAAATCCGAGATTCATTGTAATTCCACCAAAGTATGCAATAGGAAGCTCAATACACCAAACACTAAGAGAACTAACCCAAGCAGTGATAGCAACTTCTCCCATTCCAGCAAGGACAGAAAACGTAAGAATTTCTAATGATTCAATCATATAACTTGTAATAAAAATTGGTTGAACGACCATACACAATTGTAAGAGAATACTATCATTTGTATACAAACGAAAGAGAGTTTCTCGTAGAAATAACGTGATGATCGCAAGCATTGCTACAGTCACAACTGTGCATATGAATCCTAAATAACCTAATATTCGAGCAGCTTTAGGACGTCCTGCACCTAAATAATTTGCCACTCGAATTTGTGTCGCTGAACCAAATCCCCAAAAAAGTGCCCATAATAATGACCAAAGTCCCGATATGACAGCATTTGCAGCTATGACTTCTGATCCGAGCTTTGCAGCAATTAATGTAAGTGCTGAATTGGCTAAATTTGACACGAGACTATTAGCAGCCACGGGTCCAGCAATATTTAAAAAAATCTTCAAGCGGTCATGGGTAAAAGTACGAAAATCCCAACCACCCCATGCTTGCAAATGTAATTTCTTAAAAACAATAAAATACGAAATTAGAAAAAGTGGCTGAAACCATGCTGCAATAACTGTAGCCATAGGTGAACCGTCAAATGCAAGTCCTTCCCAGCCACAGACACCGAAAATTAATATATAATTTGCTGCAATTGCTACACCAATCGAGAGTGTACCTACAATTGTAACTGGAGACATAATACCCATCGATTGAAAGTATAAACGAATACAAGCATACACAAGTGATGGCCAAATACTTAGTGATAGAATGCGAGCAAAGCGAACGCCTAATTGAATCACTTCAACGTCACTTGTAGATAATTGTAGCATGTAACCAATACTCCAGTACCATATCATAACGGGTAGTGACAATATTGAGACAACAACAAGACCAATTTGCAGCCAGATACCAGTTAATTCACCATTGTTAGCACCCCACGCTTGTCCACATAATGTAATAAGTGCTGTTGCTCCAGACCATACACCAGCTAGTGGGACATTAGTCCAAGTTGATGCTAACGATGCAGCAGCGAGTGATGATGTGCCAAGATGTCCGAGAAATGCACTGTCGACAGAGATAAGAGCAATACGCGCAAAAGTTGAAAGTGATACTTGTAATGCCATTGCCAATAAGCTCCAGAATTCTTCAATTACATTCACATCGACTTCCTTGGCCAATGCTTGGCTTTTATCGCCATAGAGTAATGGAGACTTTTCACCCATTGAATATAGGAGACTAAATGCACAATTCCCACCACTAATTGATAGTTAGAGTCATACACATCAATCATCAAAAACGTATCTGTGTGTAACATTTATGTCGAAAAATTGGTTCGAAAAAGTGACACTCATATAATAAGACGAATTATTCGGAGAAAGATGATACCGTTACCAATACTGTGCGAGCCGGTATTCTGGAGAATATGCATCTCGTGGAGGTAAAGTCCAGAAACTCCTTCTGGGCTTGTTAATAGTCTAACATAAGTTATTTTTGCACATGAAATAGGTAGAATACTTGTGATCATAGGTTTTGACAAAATAACGTGATTGCCAAGTGCAGCGGGGCTGCCGTAGCTTTGCGCTTTGAGGAAGCGTAAGTTAGGTCACCGACTTCTCGTTCAATACTCAGAACAAGTACGAGTTAGGCGGATCGCAATCCGCTTACTCCAAGAGTAATTATAGCCTTACCCAGGGCTAAATAACTCTTCGCTTTAATACTGACTTAATTTATTTTTATTTGCGGCAAAGCCGCCTAATTTTAAATGCATAGATTTTCCTAAACATGTATAGTCAAATCTAAATACAGCTATAACTACTGGCTATCCATCCCCGTACCGTAGTCTTGTTTGGGTGTGGTCAGACCATGCCCATCTAGTGTGAAACACACACCTGTTACCAGGGTTTGTGTAACCCCGTTACACTCTCCTCCACTAAGATTGAGAACATTTACAGTTCCAATCGATTATTGCCTCTACGAGGCTTACGTGTCCGCTAGACACTGCAACTTGGTTCGATGGAACAAAACGACTTCCGTGCTCAATGAGCCCTGTGTCG